TTGCACATTGCCCTGCGCTCGGCATTCACGATCTGAAGATCGTGAGAGGAGGATCCGGCGGGGAGGGAGAGAAAGATGGCGAGGATGATGGAAAAGGCCCCAACGAGAGCAGTCATTTTGCGGTCGCAGCTCGGCGTCACTCGGTACTCCGGCAACAGTTGACGAGAAATGGAAGAAGAACTCGGGCGGACTCTTTTGAGTGAAGAAGATTTCTTTGGGCCTTTCGTTAGTTTGGGCCTTTTGGGATCAGATATTAAAAAACAAATACAAGCTTTTTTGCACGTGATTTATAGATTGTCACGTGAAATCCGAAATATATGTGAGCATCTGAATTTTGAGTCCGAACGGCTTGGATTCTAGATTTTGAATTCTGTCTCTGAGATCGAATGTAGAGGTAGGTGTACATTTCGGTTCGTGAATTTGGTTCTGAAACATACCGAACAAAAATCTATATCTAAATAATATTCGATACTAATTTGATGCAATTTTTATACAACCGGATAAATCGTTGTCGAATCGAACCCGATAAATACCGAACAAAAACTTGAATTATTCAGGATTGTATATGAATTCATGTTTTGGTTACTATTTAGTACTAATATAACTAAACCAAATTGATTAATATTCGGTTCTAGATTGGTGTAAGTACCGAATCAAAACTCGAAATGTAGACTCCTAACCGAATCTCGAATACATTGGATATCTAAATATGGAAAGACTGTTTTTATCTCATATGTTTGGGTGAGGGTGTCCTCTTGGGATATAATACTAATAATCGAGTATTTCTACCCGAATTGCTTAACAATAGAAGTGACAATAGTACAAATGCTTTACAACTGAAATATGAATTGTATAACCTGGACGATGAGATTAATAAAATAAAAATTTGAATCTTGAGGTGGTCATTTCGGTTTATTCGGTTATGAAGAAAATATAACGGAACGGTTATATAAATTTAATCGGTTCAAATTAGTTCACTTTTAGCACAATTAAACTATAATGTTTATAACCAAATGGGGTAATTGGACTCGATTTGGTTTCGGTTCAATTCAGTTATGAATAAATACTAACAAATACGAAAAAGTTATAAAAAAATCTTCCAAAATTTCAACTTCGTGAGCTTTTTAAACATGATAGAAATTATAAAGAAAAAGTCTTCAAAAAACTTAAACAAATAATTTAAAACAAATAAATATTAATCTTTCAAAACGTTCAAATCCAAATCTTGTTCACAAAGGCTATTTTGTAGTTTTGATTGTCACCCTCGACTCTCACCACCTTTCCCCCCTTGCCTCACCTATCGACTGAATACCCAAACCCTCGTCGTACCCCATATGAATATCCAAAACTCGGATACCCGACCCCACGAGTCCAAGACCGAGTACTCCTGATCGAGAAATTCGAGAGAGTGAAACCGAAATCGAATACGCCGGAGAACTCAATCCCCAATCCACGCCCACGCCTCCGCTAAGCAAGGAGTTCAAAAATATATTTTCAACTTGTTACAAACCAAGTGGACTACAAATTTCATTTTTGTTACAAAAAAAAACGTATACCCAACCGAGGAAGTAATTCCTCTCCATATATACATATTATTACATCAAAACACCAAATGCAAATATAAGCCAGGAAAATCAACGTCTATATATTGTAAAAGCCTGAACCCACCTGACTCTTGTACCTATTTCACATTTCTCCTTCCTTTTCCCCTGCTTCTCTATCCTCTTTACAGAGAACCCTCCATTAGTTCCCCTTCCATTTCCACAAACAGGAAAAAAAGAGAGGTTGATTACATCGGATTATCCCCAAATTTTGGTTATTTATCTTGGTTTTGGTTGTGGTTGTGAAGCGAGTGACAACAGGGGTTGGATGAGTCTGTGATTTGATGGACTACCCAGAAACATGGCCTGAGACCGTCGAAGCATCTCAGCCATCAATGGAGTCTGATACGACTGAACGAGGATTGACCCGTCTATAGAATCCCCTCTTGCTGTTGCTCTTTGCCATGAGTGTGAGCTAAGTCCTGAGAGGATGTAAGCTCTCCCCGATGCTTCGTACACGTGCCTACTCATCATTCTTTCCTGCATTTCTTTCAGCTCGGTGTCCAGAGCAACACAGAACCTGTCGCGGGATTTTGCTGCGACCGTTTCAGACAAAACCCGTCTGGAATCCTCGAGAACGGATATAGCTGTGGTTAGATCACCGCGCTCTGCTAAAGTTCTCGCCTTTGCCATCGCCTCTGCAGCTAGGAACCTGTTTCTTTGCTTGTCAACTTCAATGGACACTACTTCTTCACCGACCTTTTCTGGTCTTTGAATTTTGAGGACATCGCTTTCGAGTGTTGCAGTTTCCTTCGACAAGGGATCCTTATAGACACATCTCAATGCCAGCAACGGTGTGTCAATCCCAGCTTTCTCTGCAGGGATGTTGATGGAGACCAAGAAATCCCTCTCTTCTTCAGCATAAAGATCACCAACGTCAATGGAGCCTGACCGGCCATCACCATTAATGAGGCTGGAGTAACTCCCGGCTTTTATTGAGCCAAGACGAACATCTGGCCACACAACATCGATCTCTAACCGTAACTCTTGCACTGCAACACTTAAAAGTCCACCAATACACTGTGCAAGAGCATCCTGGATCACAGCTTCACTTTCGATGAAAGAGAAGGTCCCACCAGAGAATTCAGACACAGAATGCATCAGTGATGCATCATGATCTGATCCAAAACCAAAAGAGTGAACTGGGATCTGAAATCGCTTGCTATGCACAGACAAGGGCAGTAACAACTTGTAGTTGGGATCAGGCTGGTTCATGGTATAGGTGTCTCTCCCATCAGATAAAAGGATAATGCTCGAAACAGGATTCTTGTGTCTTCTATCTTCCATAACTTTGGCACCTTTCCTAAGGCCTTCAGCTATGTTTGTCCCACCATTCGCAACCAAGGAATTAACTGCTTGAAGTGCTTGCTGTCTTCCGGTGTCAGACATCCGGGTTAACGGGAAGAGACGACGAGCAGTAGAAGAGAAAGCAATAACCGAGAGCCTATCATTGGACCCAAGGTTTTGAATCACAAAACCCATTGCTCGTTTTAGCAGCGCGAGCTTAGTTCCTGCCATACTGCCACTGATGTCTAGTACTGTGACTAGATCAACCGAGGCACGTGGATATTGAGAAACCTGATTGTTTTGAGAGACAGCTTGACCAGTAACCATGGCAGCAGCTTTGAGATGCACTAATACATCGAATTTCTCAAAGGATTTTGCTCGTGGTACAGCTGAGACCTCTGGATATACTTTCATGTCCACCATTCTTACAGGATGGTTGTTGTCCAAAGCATCATTATTGCTAGAGCTCTTCCCAGCAATCATGGGCTGCTGGTCCAACCGTTCATCATCGTTGAATGTAGCCGGTTCTGAAGCTTGTATCTGTGGACCATGACCTCGACTCATAACTCGACGAGGGGGAGGTAAGCTTCGGGCAAGATTCATGGCTGCATCATTATGGTGTCGCTCAGACAGATAAGAAAGATCCAACATGGGATGCTGCATGGGTATTTCTTTCCACTTGGCTCTGCAGACTGGACAGACATGATTGCCATGTTTCACATTCGAAGCGATGCATTGAAAATGAAAAGAGTGTGAGCATTCTGCTGTGAAAATCGCATGTCCTTCCCCTTCTCTCATCTTAGTCAAGCATATCGAACATGTCTGCTGTTAAAAGATTATAAAACACACATCAGATTGTAAGTCCCCATGACTAAGAGAAAAGCTAATGAGAAAAACCGACAGATAAACTCTTCAGATGATTCTTTTTCAGACAATCCCATCAAAGTTCTCACATGAAACAGACAGCTACACCAATAAGCCATGGAGTTTAGCATTGAACATCAAGACCACAAAAAACGAAGCAGCAGGGAAATCACGTTGAGGACCCGTAAGACAATTTAAGTGCATCTTTCATCGGCAAGACAGAAAAGGTTTCGCAACGAAAATTGCGGGGTTAATCCAGCAAATACAACATGAACCACAGGACCATCACATCTGGTCTCCGAGCTGCTAATGAGCAAAAACCCTGAAACTTATAAGAAGAGATGGGGAAAAGAAATGTTATAGAGCATATCTTAAGAAGAAAATGCATTCATCACTGGAAACAAAAAAGGATAAGAAAGTAGTAAAGCTCACCCAAAAGGTAAGTTCAAGAACAAAGGAATGTTTCAGTTCTTTCTCCTCCCTAATGATTATATTGACCAATGTGTTGAGCTTACAAGAGAGCAGAAAAATAGCACTGAGAATAGAAACCCTTTACACGAATAGAAACATATCACCAAACACACACACACATACACGAATACATCAGGTTGACAAAAGACTTTAGGAGACGGAAGAATCTTCAACTTTTCCAAGTATAACTGAAACAGGAAAAAAGCTTGGAAGAAAGATCCATTATTAGTATGAGAATTAAGCATTTGCAAGTAGCCAGAGATAGAAAAGAGAAGCAAAGGGAACAAACACAACACAACAAACAACTACAAGAGACACAAGTCTTCTCTTTATTACAGCTACAAACAACAGGGCCGACAGACTAAAACTCGGCTCCTTTTCATCCTTCTTCCGATTCTTTAGCTCGAGATATCTCCGCTAGATAAACCTCTAGCAGCAAATGAGCAAATACTCAGCGTACACAGAGATCACAAAAGAACAAAACTTTTAGAATATTTAAAAGAAAAAAGAAATCTGTGTACAAATAGATAGAGAGAATCAAGGATTTCATACCCAACATGAACAATTATGTTAATAGAAACTAACATAAGAACATACAAATAAAAAAGGGAGCAGGAAGCAGAACGAGACAAACCCATTAATCCACAAGTCAACCCATTTTTTTTCCCAGTAACCAAACAGGCCTGAGCTCAAACAAAGAACACCCAACAAGAGACGTGCAGAGAGAATCTGGGTCTCGGAGAACAAACCTTGGAAGATTTGCTGCTACTCCTGGACAACCTCAGACCGTAAGAAGACGGTGTCGGAGTCATGGGCCAGTTCGCCGGAGACAGCAAAGCGACATCGGACAATCTCTCAGCGGAATTCAAACAAACAGCTGGCGGTTCCTCTAGGGTTCTTGGGAGATACGTGCAAAGATTCAGACCCAAAGCCAGTTTCATCTTCCTCCACTTGCTCCCCATTTTCAGATGAGCGAGTGACCTAGAAACAGTACAAACCCAGAGAACACCAAACAAAATGCGACAGAAACAAGCGAAGCCAGAAAGATATTTGAAGAATCGGAGCGTCAAATCATGGAGAAAATTAGGTTTTTTGGGGGAGTTCTTGAAGAATCGAGCTTCAGTGGAATCAGTGGAAGTGTTGGCCTTGAGATTTGCCAACTGTTTTGACCTTTGGTTTTGGGTCTTGTAAAAGGACGCAGCGAATAAATATAAAAAAAATAAAGCAACGTAGAAACTAGAAAAAAGAAAGTTTATATATAAAAATGAAAAAAAGATAATGCTTCTGCTTTATGGCAAATATACAATCATGTAAGTTGTCTCAGCGTATAATAATTACTGTTACCATCACAGCTAATATTTTGACCTAATAACATTATAGACCCTAAAGTTTTGTGTACATTTAATTGCCAAGTCGACATTTTTGTTTAAACAAAAATGCCCACTTCATTGGATCGATCTGTACACAATAGTCAAGTCAGTCAGATGACGTCTATTTAATAACTGTAGTTTTCTACAAAAATGTATATTTGTATGTAAAATATTTTTAAAAAAATCTAAAATTTGGTTAGAAATTTTATACCTTTTTTATTAGGACTTGAGATCATATGGAAAAGAAAATATATTAACGTAATAGTTGAATTATATATAAATCAATATAATGAAATTATAAATTAGAAAATCGCAACTTTCAAAATAGAAGTATAATATGTGTATATATACAATTTTAAATGATATTTTTAAAAACAAAAATACAATTTTTAATGTTAATTATTTTATAAAAATACTTAAAATATAAATTATTTTAATATAGTATAGATAAGAAATGAAATATATAATTTTATCAATACATATCATTAAATTTAAATTGTTTTTGATATTTTTATCTAATTATATTAAATAAAATATTTAAAATGTTTAAATAAAATTATTATTTTATGATAGAATTTAAAAAAAATTTGGTTGAAAATATTATAGACATTTTTTTATTTAAGATTTAAAATTATAATATAGAAAAAATCTAATTTATCTAAATAAAATATTCAATTTAAACTAAATGAAAAATAATATAATATAAACTTTATGATTACGTAAACTTTTTCATATTATCTTCATACTCTAGCATTTAAAAACGGAAATAAATAAAAGTTTCATGTCTCACGACATGGTATTGATGTGCCAATGTATAAATACGAAATTAATAAATACATATATTTATGTGTATATATATATACGGTGATATGTCAGTGCAGACGTGGATATACTAAAATGATCGCTAAGAAAAATATAAAGAAAAGTTAACGATGAAGAGATTGAATGATGAGGAATGATGGAATTTGGGCATGAAGTCAAAATGCTTACATTTGTTTCTTAATGACAGCGAGTTTGCACTATTATTTTTTTTTTCCGGTCGCACGTGCACTACAAATCTAACCCTTGATTTATGCCATAATCCCGGTCTCCGTTTTCTTTTCTTTTTCAATAAAAAAACAAAATATTTACAAACTAATTACTCTATTTTAACAAAAAAAAAAATATCCACCTAAACAATGTTTGCTTCATACACCAGAGGGAGATATTTACATAATATTATTACACAAAAGAAGTTAATTATATCCAAGGTTTAAAATTTCTTATAAAAGCAAAGGATAATAATAGGAGCTATCAAATTGTTTTTTTTTTTACACTTTTAATGATGGATTCGAGTGGTTTAATTCTTTATTTTTGTTAAAAAAAAATTTAAGATCCAAAATATAATATCATTCCGTAATACAGTTTTAACAAGATAGTTAAGATTGTTTATATTAATGTACATACAATGGATGATGGTGATGGTGGCATCCTAAAAAAAGAGTGAGAATAAAAGATTAATAAGATGAACACAATCTAAAATTGGTTGGTTTCAAATGGTAAAGAACGGAGCAAAACTCATTCTCAACTCGAGTTTGAATTCTTATTCAGGGAGAGGTATTTACATGACTTTCTCCGATCTCAAAAAATCCGATAAATTTTCAAATTATATATAAAAAAAAGGATGAACACAAGATTTAACTTTTTATTCATTAGTATTGAAATGAAAATATTATGATGCTTCTTGCACGGGGTTTTTGTAATATTCGTTGAACAAATGGCCTCAAAAGCCTAACCCTAGGATGAGTGGTCAATCTCATATTTTGGTCAAACCAAACAAACATCTCACGTTGTTATGATTATCAATTCTCCAAAAATACTATCCTCGGATTTCTCCCATTTTCCCTCCCCATGTGACCTTACCACAAAACTAATATTTTTTTTAAAAAAGGAATAAGTTATATTTAATAATAGTGAATCAATTGGAATTAGCTTCTCTTTAATTCATGTATAGGATTTGATATTGTCAAATATCTTAAGATTTCCCACGTTAGTTAATAAATAAGATTTATATAAATTATTTTGTAACAAAATTAACTATCTCCAATTAGTGTTTTAAAAGTATTAGTCATGTCTAGATGGAGATTTAGAAATCGTAGTCTAAAGTTAGGAGCTAGACGACGTTCAAAATGACTATTTTAGATTAAAAAAAAATATATAGTTTTTCTTACAAACTTCAAGAATTATTGTTTGATCATCTGATTTTAAAATTTAAATTTATTGTCTATTATATGTTGAGTGTGTACGTAGGTGCGAACCAGAATCCATTCCATGCTACACTTATTGTTTTCACGTATTAATTAAAAAAAAAAAAGGTTATATGCTGTTTCTAGAAGTGGAATCCGTGTATATATTTCTAGAAATGTTGGAGAATATATACACATATGTACATTTGTATATCCACAAAGATCGATGTATATATCATATGGGACCAAGAATCCCAATAATCAAACGAAGACGCATGTGCAGCATAACATACATACACACTCATGCAACGTCGTGTATATATATAATATGTGCAAAAATATACATGCATGGATATTGTGACATTGATTATTATGGTACCATTTTAAAGCTTGAGAACCTTTCGAAAGCAGCTTTTTGTTCTGTAAGAACTTTAATAGGAGCATGCGATGCATACTAAAAAAAATATGAGTTCGATATTTTGATTGGCCCATGGGAAATTATGTGAAAACAAATGATGCGCATGATTGTTTGGGATATATATATATATATATATATATATATATATATATATATATTAATTATAGAAATTATTTCATAGCTAGAATGTTATATTTGATTATCGTTTTCTTTATGTAAAGGTTAATTGTATTAATAAATACGTCATATACAAAAGTGGTTATGACCGTAGATGGGAATAGAAAGCCTCGTAAAATCATTGATTATCATTATTTGACCAAACAAATGTTTTAAATAATTTATGTTTTCTATTTAGCAGTTGTAATGGAATTGCTCATTTGAGTTTGTAATTCGCATCAAAATAGATATAGAAGTATGCTGAATAAGATATTTTTTTTATCGTATTAATAATATTCCAAATCATAATGATTCATTCAGCAGACTATGGATCTTATACAAATGACAGCTTTTCAAACATTTATTCAAGCACCAACTAATTGAAATAATATTATGGTTATCACACATTTTTTTATAAACAAATAATACATATTATATTTTGCACAAAAAGAATATATCATATAGTTGTATACAACAAAATCTTATATAAATTTTAAAAGTAAATGAAAGAAAAAAAAAAGGTTGAGAAAAGCAAGAAAATAAAAGACAGGATAAATTAAGATAAATATTTTATGACATGAGGAAGAG